CAGGACTCTGCCTTGGGCTGTTCTGCCCTGATCCCTTCTGGAAGGTGGAGGAGGGAGATGACCAGAGATGGGACTGTGCCTACCATGTCTGGGGGGAGCGGCTGAAGATGTGGTGGAGACCCGGTGAGCACTGGCTCCTCCCCCCAGTTATGGGGTGTAATTTACAAAGGGGAGAAAAGGCTGGTGTGTTGTCAGGGAAGTGGGGAGGAGAGCTAGGTGGTGGGTGAAGGGTGCTGGGGGTGTCAGCTGGTAGGTGAAATGTGCTGGGGGTGCTAAGTGGTGGGGGAGAGTTGCTGGAAGTCTCAGCTGGTGGTTGAAGGGTGCTGGGGGTATTAAGTGGTGAGGGAGGGATGCCAAGTGGTGGGTGAAGGATGACGGAGTATTAAGTGGTGGGGGAGGGGTGCTGGGGATGTCAGTTGGTGTGTGTTTGGGGTGTTAAGTTGTGGGGGAGGGGTGCTGGGGATTTCAGGTGGTGGGTGAAGGGTGTTGGGGGTGTCAGTAGGTGGGTGCTGGGGGTGTTAATTGGTTAGGGGGGTGCTGGAGTGTCAGGGTAGTGGGAAGTGCTAGGGAAAGGGGTGCTGGGGCTGTTAATTGGTGGAGGAGGGGTGCAGTGGTGTCAGGGAAGTGGGGACTGTGCTATATCCATGGCACAGTCAGCTGGCAGTGTGCAGACCACCGCTGCCAGGTTTCCAGGGCATTCAGGGGCTTGTATCTTTTTACCTTTACCCTCATAAATTCTGAAGAATTTGGTGTTACCCGAGTATCATTCACATAATTTGTAAAATGTTATTACATAGCGGGCAAACCTGCTTGCAATGCACTGGTGAATGACTACAGGTCATGTGAAAAGCAGAAGTGATTCATCAATTGCTATGTATTTGGATGGGGGCAACACTTCTGCAAAATGATCAGACAAGCTGTCTACAAGGAGACCTAATTTGGGCAGCCTGTTATGACTGGGCTGGCCCGGGAATGTTGCATTTTCATTGGTATTGAAATGAAGAAGCCTGTGCAGTAGCTCATAGTGGTTTCAGTATATATTGGAAGAGAAAAATGGGACAGCTAGTGCAGAATGGGTGTCCCAATATATGCAAGGTAGGCTTACAATCCATATTGCTAATATTAGGCCCCAGGATCTTTTAAGTTCAGCGACATTAGTGTAATGCCAATTGTTAGCCCTTGGGTGGAAGGGAGTTTAGAACAAATAGTGTTCAGCAAATCTGTTTGTCTCAAAAACCATCTTTTTAACAATTTCTTGAGTTAGAAATAAATAAAACAAATCAGGTACATTAAAGATCTCTATAACAACATTGACTCCTGGATTTGCAATGAAAGTTGGAATTTAGGGGCCATAAAAATCAGAAGTCTTCCATTCAGGTTCTCCAGCTGCAGCATTCTCCCATCCAGGTGCAGAATCAACTTCTATAGCTACAGCTGCATCTTCCATGGCTTCATTTTGGCTAACAGGAGGCTCTATCTGTCTAATAGAAGTATACTATTATTCCTCTGTAGAAGAATCACTGTCAGATTCTGTATATTCTGATCCTGAAAACAGATCTGCTAGATCACTATCCTAGGCTTCTACATATATATTGTTTCTGCACTAATGTATGTAACCACCTTGCCCTAAGTGGGGTGACTCATTACATTTAGATTACATGCTTCTGCCCGCTGCTGAATGTGACCTGGCAATAAAGCAGAATTCAGTAATGCTGTGTTATGAATATATGTGTCTCTCTGGCCAATCACTAGGAGGTTCATTGCCAGTGGTGGATGCTGGGGTAGGACATAAATAACAAGGGCTGACCTTGTGAGTCTCTCTTCCCTCTCCGGGCTCCTGCCTGGGGGAGGTGTGTGCTTCCAAGGCTGATCCTGGCTTCCAAGGTCTGATGACTAGGGAAGCCAACTGTGCTATGCTGTAAGACCTAGGTTGGGGCATTAACTCGTATTGCCTTGCTGGAGGGAGTTTCCCAGAAGGAGTGGAGATGTTCCTGGGAAGGAGCACCATGCAGGAACTTTGGCTGTAGGAGGTGCCAGAGAAGCTGGAATTTGGCTTGGACCTCGCAGGGAGTCTGGTGTCTTGTCCATGCAGTTTGGTGCTATGTCTGCTAACCAGCTAAAGTTCTGTCGCACACAGTGTCCCAACAAGCGTCTTAAAGGCTCTCTGCAATGTGAAGATGAGAGTGTGCGGTGAGTCTGGAGCTCTGTACTATCCTAGGTGTCTGTATCTCTTAGCCACTCTCCCATTTGAGCTGCTGGAGAAATAAAATCTTTCAAATCTCTTAAAGTGACTGGCGCCCAACTAGAAACTCGTATCCCACAACCATCTAAGTATTTAACCTTGAGGTAAAATGTCAGCCCACCCTGCCTCCAGGGTCCGTCACATGCTTCTGGGCTTAAGGGGGGTGCTACAGATAAAGGATCTATACTAAACTCCATCATTGAAAATTTTAAATACATCAACAGTACAAAAAGGGCCTATATCAAGTGCAAAATAAACCCTAGCTATAATATTACATAACCAGTGCTAAATCATATAAATATAAATTAAGTTATACATATAATCTGTATAAACAAATCAAATAAAGTCTTGTGCTGTGCATCCTTGCATTAACCCCTTCGTGACGGGAGATGTACACTGTACGTCCTGCCACAAAGGGACCAAATGACTTCACGTACACTGTACGTGACGAGTTATTTGCTGCACTAGAAGGCTGGTAACCGCTGAGAATCAGCGGTTACCATTCAGTAATGGATGTCTAACTATCTAGGCATCCATTAATGAAAGGGTTAACCTTTTTCAGACACCCGATACCTTAATATCGGGTGTCTGAAAGTCACAGCAGAGCTGACACACATGCCGGCTTTTGCCGGCATTCTGACAGCTCTTATAGATCGAGACAGATATCTCTATACTTTTTAATCTGACCTTAGTGCTTTCTATATAATCAATATTTATTAAAAAGTACAAGCTTTAAAACCACTCATAATAAAAAGTGTGCATCTACAAATACAGTATTGCGCATCAGCAGCGGTTTGGAGTCCCGTGAGTGGTTTTCACACTTCGACTTTTTAATAAATATTGGTTATACGTGTAGCCACTTTCCCCTTAGTGGGGTGACTACTTAAATCTAGTTTGCTAGGACTGCATTCAGTCTAGCTGATTGTATAGTTTGTGCTCATCTGGCTCGAAGGATTCTGTTATTTATTGCACCTGCCTGCTGCTGGGTGTAACCTTTGCACAGAGCAGAACAACCAATAGTGAAATGCTATGGATGCCTGTGTCTCTCTAGCCAGTCACTAGGAGTTTCATGGTCAGTGGTGCATCCTGGGACGAGGACATAAATATTTGGGTCTGACCATGTGAGAGCCTCTTTCTTCCCCGGGCCTCCTGCCTGGGAGAGGTGCGTTATTGTGTGCTGTCTTACCAGGCCTGAAGCCAACCGGTGGTCAGGTGTGGACCTAGCCGGGGTCTGGAATTATTCCTGAAATGGAGAGCCAGGGAAGAATTTGTCTATAAGAGGTACTGGAGAAGCTAGGATGGACTTGGACCTCAGAGAGAAATCTGGTGTCTCATCCAGGTGAGATCTCAAAATGTCTGCCAACCAGCTAGCTACAGTTCTTTGACACAGTGTCACCGCATTTTTAAAGGCCCTACACACTGTGAAGCTAGAAAGCATTCGGTGAGTCTCGAGTTCTCTTTGATCCTCGATGTCTGCAGCCCCAACCCTCTCTCCCTGTTTTGCTGTTCATGGAATAAAGCATTATAAAATCCTTAAAGTGACTGGCACCCAATTTTGCTTTGTACATCCCACTTTGCGGCTAAGGACTTATCCCTCAGGTGAAATGTCATCACCTCCTGCCCCTAGAAGTCATGGGGGCACTACATACAGAAAACACTGTGGTCAGATGTTTTAATGAACCAAGAGTAGATGCATACAGACCTCTATCCCTGTGAGATGCTCCACCTCTAAGCCTGCCTATGGTGAAACATGTTAGAGCGCAGCAGACCTTGAGAGGGACTGAGGGGTATCTTGTTGAAGTCAATAATGTTGTTTTTGTTATGGTATCAGAGTGCTGCTCCACAAGTGAGTACCTGATCTCTCTGGAAAGGAGCCATATTTTTCACAATCTGTAAGGCATTCTGACCTGGCCAGCTGTTCTGTTCAGTTATATGCCTTATGTTGGTGGCAGGGAAAGTGTTAACGGAAAAGTGATTTTAGAAACATTAAGGGGTCTATTCACTAAGCTGCCGTAGGCAGCCGAGTGACTAACAGACCCCAAGCGAAGTGAGCTGAACGCTGTTCGGCTATTCACTTCAGGCTGGTACGGCTGATTCCAGCCGTATATCAGCTGAAATCAGCCGTACATCGGGGGCCTTCGCGTGGCTTCGGGTCGGCCGAACATGCTCAGCATGTTCGGTCGACCCGAAGTGCAGAAGGAGTTCGACTCAGCCTATCCAACATCTGGATCGGCTAAGCCGAACCTACGGCAGGCTACTCGCTGCTGTATGGTCTATTCTCATAGATGCCGAACAGCAGTGAGTAAATAGCCGAATGCTGCTGAGCGGCATTTGGCTCGGCACCTCTGTGGAACCAAGCAGAATAGAAAAATAGTTAAAAAAAGTAGAAAACTATTTTCTATTGGCCGGGTGGTTCTGCTGCCGTAAAAAAAAAAAAAACACACCATAGGAATGCATAACTAGATTCCTATTGGCTAATTTGCATGGAAATATAACAATTGAGATACATTTTCAAATAGATACAGTTTTGTAAACCAACAGAATTATGAAAAAAAAGGAAGTTTCCTAAAGACAAGATAACTACATGAAAACAAACAAGATGGGTCAATCCAAGCTGATATGTGATAATAAATGTAATATTAAGAAGGAGGTTCAGAGGATTGGGAAATTGTGAAATGTGCCCCGTGCCAGACTTGCTCTCCACTATAAATGAAGAAGCTGTGAAAGGTAGCACAGGCTGTGTACACTGACTGCCACAATGCAGAAAACCCAAGTGAAAATCTTGATGCTCTTTTCACTTTGCTATGGCATACTTGGAAAGCCAATGCCACCAATGAAAACTGAAGGAAACATGACTCCTGAAGATCACAAGTTTGCGGAGGTATGTTTATTGTGTATGTTTAGCAAAATGTAAGTAATATTAAAGTCAAAAGGTTTTTAAGTTATTTTAAATGCTGATTAAATAACTTACAATGGATGCTGCTCTTTGATGTTAATAAGTTTTAGTTTCCTGCAGAATCAGCTGCTCCCCTGAGCACTGACCCTGATATACTATTATAGGGTGGCTCCTTGCAGGATCCTTTGGAACCAATCTAGTGTGTGCTATTAAGCTGTGTGTGTCTCCACAAACAGGCACAGCAAGGCAAGCCACCCCCCCCCCTAAGCTAGTAGATGGAAGGCTACTGGAGACTGCTCTGTCCCTTGTGATCTTGTATTGGACATTGAGGGAAGCTGAGCTTAGAGTTGCAGTCAGCTGTTCGAAAACATGATGGCTGTGAGTGTTTGGGTACAAATGTAAATAAATACTTGCTAGGCAATTTATATTTGTTTGATCTGGATTAATTAATCAAAAAAGTATGACCCCCCCCCACTGTGTGCTGTGCTAACTCCTACATCACTATAGGACACAACAGGAGCAACTGCTGAGCACAGACATAGTAGACACTCCCACAAATTGTTTAGAAGAGACTTTGGCAGAGGGTTTCTGCTTGATTGGTATATATTTTTACAAACGTCTTCACAAGTACAGCTTTTATTGGCAGATTTACTTAAGCCAAACTAGACAGTGGATGACATTGTCCCCTACTGTGGGATGTTAATTATGAAGGGAGGGAGGGACTGGTTGTAGATGATATAGTAGAGGAGTTAGAGACCTATTACTTGGGAAAGATAGGCATAATAGAGGCCGGGTCGGCTAGGCTCAGCTACAGCAAAGTACTACTCCATCCAATTAAACCAAGTATTAAAGAACCTGGAATCCATTGATTTCAAAGAACTGGTCAGGTCTTCCATATGTTTTAAGTCTACAGGCAATGGTTTGTTGGATATGGGATGGTTTTGGAGGACCAGATAAAGTTGTTCAAAATAGAACAGGGGGGTGTTAGATAAAGAATTCCAGGTAAAATGTTCTGTTTAATTACATTGCATCTCAGCATTCACGAAAAGCTGTTTGTGGTTCAATTAGCCAAGTCATTTCAAAAGGTGGAGATGAGGGGGACAAAATTAAATTGGCAAATGTTGTATGGCCACCATAACACCTGATGGGTGAGAAGGCCCACTTGAAGGCAAAGTGACAGGTTTACTTTATGTGGACCTGGATTTCGAGATTAGATCTGGTTTACTGTATAATAATAATAATTAAATTATATTTTTTATATTGTTTGTTTATACATATGTTGCATACTGTATGTATTGGTTTTTATTTTTATGGTACATAAGCTGGTACCAACTGTGCTACTGCTGTAAGTTATCAAAATTTCTCTTTTTGACAAGGCTTACCTAAAAAATTTCTACACATTAAAAAACAAATCAAGAAATACATTTGCAGAAAGGATGAGAGAAATGCAAAAATTCTTTGGAATGCGTGTAACAGGGAGGTTGGACACCAAAACAATGAAGATGATGAAAACTCCCAGATGTGGCATGCCTGACTTGGCAGAAATTACTGGTATCCCTGGAAGACCAACGTGGAGACTAAATTCCCTGACCTACAGGTAGGATTCCCATGGATGATAGAATACTTTCTGCTAAAGTCATACCAGTTCAAGAAAGATTCTGATTGTTTAAAATCTCACTCTAGAATATAAAAAAAATATCCTTCATTCATGTTTGCAAAGTATTTCTCACGCTCTACATACATTCCAGTTTTGTCCTCTATGTTTTCCTCTTCCACTGGCTGCTGGTCTTCTTCCAGGTTGAATGGTGTCCAGCTTTATTTAGCTTGTTTCCTTTAAGCCTTATAGCAGAATGCTGCAGAGTCTGCTACTCACGCATCACAACTTAAGCGTCATTTTCTGCAGCATTACGGATGGCCCATCCCTGGAGGCAAGGGAAAGCCAGAAAATGAGGAAGAGAAACCTGAACATTTCATGATCAGCCAGGATTCTACTGGAATAACAGAACTTTTTTAAGTATGAAAGGAAGAAGGGGAAATAGTGAGGTGATTGAGGGACTCATAAAGCTTGTGTTTGACTTTAACCAGTTGTGGACATTGGGCATGCTACACACACCCAAAAAAACTTTATCAAATTACAGAGGGTATGTATAATACACCCTGTCCTTTTATCCAGCTGATGCTCCTCCTTTGCATTTGCTAGCATTACTGACTGTCAAAATGGCAGCCGGGAGTTGCTGTGTGAATACAGGAGATATTACAGCTTCTGCTGTTAAAAAACAGACCGTTCATTGTTTATAAACACTATTTAAATGGGGGCTAGAGATACAAAGTAACATTGTTACTTATGTATTTACTCTGTTCCATTCATCTACACAGATCAAAGGGATATGCAAACTGTATATGATATTAATTAAAGCTACCTGGCAAGCAAAAAAGCTATTTATCATATTATGTTGATTTTATTTGTATTTCTCTAACTATTATTATTTACTTCTTTTTTTTTTTTTTAATCGTTTAGGTTTTTTTAGTGTCACATTGAAAAAAAGCATATATTTTATTTGTAATAAGTTTGCAGTGCTTTCTACCACAATCATAATTTTGGAGTCATTTTAAACAGCACACATTATAGAATAACATTTATATGTTTTATGTACACTAACACTATTTTTATTAAACTAACACTGATCAAAAAAAAAAGTCAATTTTTAAGTTTTATGTTTGTTATCTATAGAATGCATTAAAAAGAATCACTTTTGCATGACAATATCATCAGTTTCCTGACAAAACTATATATGCATTAATGTGTTATGTAAGTAAGGTTGTCTGTGACCCTACTAGGGAGATTCCTCCTTCTTTATTTATTCTGCCAATGCAAGAAATAGGAAGTGCGGACGTTACTAAGACAGGAAGATACTGACTTCAGTAAAAGCATTGTCAGAAGCTTTAACCCTTTGTCACGCTACTAAAAATATTTTTGTGGCCCCAAAACAAAACATCTATTTAATGATGCATATTGTCACAAGAAGAGCAAGTATAATTTATAGTGAGCCTGAGGAAGGGACACTGCGTGGTCCTGAAATGTTGCCCTTCTTGTGACAATATACATCAATAAATAGATGTTTTGTTTGGACACATTTCTCCAATGTGCTGGTGACATCTTGCTTCCTACATTGATCAGAGCAGCGCCATACTCAGTCATTACAGCGCCCATCTCAAGGGGTTTACCGGTAACAGGGGCGGAAATACTGCCAGTGCAGCCGCACCGGGGCCTGAAGCTGTGGGGGGCTCAGAAGGGTGCGGGCCTGGGCACCCCCCCAGTGGAAAATGGGGCAGTGCAGGGTCCCGGTGTTAGAAAACCGGGGCCCCGCACTGCCGACGGGCTTCTCAGTAAGGGGGCGGGTCCTGTGACACACCTTCACTCCTGGCCGTGTCCCTAGTAACAGGCAGTAACAGGCACACCGACACCTTCTTGCTGCGATCCTGTGATGCTCTGGCTGGGTGAGTCCAAACAGCGAGGGGAGGGGGCGTGGGGGATGCCGAGGGTTGTGTGCTGCGATTTCATTTATTTAGGAAAGTGGATTATAATGGGGAACATTAATCTGTAATGTTCCCTATTATAATCTATTTATCTGATTAAATGATTACCATCAGGGCCAAAGCTTTCTCAGCTGTTCCAGGGCAGATCGGCATCGCAAAGCGCATGTGCAGGAGAACCGATCTGCCCTGGAACAGCTGATCGGTCCTGAAATGTCACTTCTATCCGACTTTGTGAGTATGGTGGGACGTGAGACCGCAGTCGCAGAGTCGGAGAGAAGTGACATTTCAGGACCGATCAGCTGTTCCAGGGCAGATCGGCATCGCAAAGCGCATGTGCAGGAGAACCGATCTGCCCAGGAACAGCTGAGAAAGCATTGGAATGCTTCATCTATTGGTGGTCACACATTCCACCGCCAAAAAACTGGGCGGGATTACGATAAAACGTGTGACCACGTCACCGGTCACACATTCTAACGTAGTCACAAACTAGAACACCGCCATCAGGGGGTATGGCCGCTACCCATGTGATGGGTCTGGGCAGACTGGGGGGCCTCTTACATGGGTATCAGCTGTACCAGGGGCGGCATGGCAGAGGTGTCAAGAGAGAGGGTGGAGGAGGCCAGGCCCCAGCAGCAGCAGGTAAGAAGAGTTGGGAGGAGGTACAGGGAAAGGGACCCCGATGACCAGCCCACCTGGGACCCTGCAGAGCCGCCATAGAGAGTCTCAGGTGGGCTATGCAGGATCTATGGTGTGCTGTTGCTGGGTCTTTGCACAGCATTACTTCCTATTACACTGCCATTGTGATTATATCTGATAACTGATAATACATAGGGAAGTCCACAGGCACACAGCAGGAAGTGGTTACAGTCTTAGCCATGGTGGTCCGTATATCTCTGCACTACCTGGAAACACTGTTTTTCCTTTAACCAGGGCAAGTAAATAGGAAATGTCTAAAACCATGACATGGTTTGTATAACTGCTAATAAACAGGATTATTCTGCTAAATTAGATGAAAGCTAAAACACAAGTGTTGCCTTAGCAATCAGTTCATAGCTACAATATTCTTGTGCAATAGATATATGACCTGTTTATAAATGCGTGTGTATAAAGACACTGTATATGTATTTTTTACCTTATCTTGCTGAGGTTCCTGATTATGTGCTACTAAATTTCTATTGTTGCATTGCTTTTTTTGCGCAGATTCCTGAATCACACTCCTGACCTGCCTATGAATGTGGTTGATGACTCAATAAAGCGAGCTTTCGATGTCTGGGGCCAAGTCACTCCACTCACATTCACTAAAGTTCCAAATGACCAAGCTGATATAATTATTCAATTCGCAAGGTTGGGTAAGTAAACCAAATTAAATTGTCCACATGTCTCCTGTTGCTGATCGGAGACAGTTATCTCCACTTGGAACACTTGTCAAATGGCTGCTTTACCAGCAATGCCAAGCACCTCAGAGAGCTGTTCTGCCTTCTTTATTGATGCAAAGCCAAAACATTTCAAGCTAAACTCTATGCAGTTATAAAAACACAAATGAATGCAGCACAGTAATAACTAATACATGTACATCAATAAATGTACAGGTATTTTTCATTGCAAACATTGGACGTTCCTGAATGTGACTTGTATCAGCCTTTTGAGGTCCCTGTAAAGCAGGGCTGGAATGTGAGAGCAAGAAGCAGTACAAAGAACCAGTCAGTTCATGTACTGACAAGAAGCAAGCTGATAGGAAGAGAAAGCAGAGTGACATATTAGCTGTGCTGCTTCTCCCTTTACTGCTCAGTCACAGGCTGGGGCAGGTATAGGACAACCTGGGCTCAAAATAAATGGGTTAAATATTGCTGGCAATCAGACTGAGGATATCTAGTGGCAGAAAAAAAGTGCGGTGGGAGAAACTCTGGATAGAATATGGCAGTTAAACCCGGCTTTATTTTATTTTGAATGGGCTATTTATTTTATCTTGTTAGTTTTGCCTGGAATTTTGCTTTAAACCAACTAGGGGGGATTTATCGAACAAGTTGTCCAGAAAATCATGTACTTTTTCCAGTGCAAATCCAACTGCCTCTCATATATGAAAGAACTGGTGGTAGGATTTGAGTATGGTGCATGCTGTGCATTGATCCTGGCTTCAGTAGCCAGTTGACAAGCAATGGATTTTGAAAGCTAAGCCATGTTGTGGTGGCATCCACACAAATGGTCAACAATGAGCATGGTGGGAACCCTGCTGATCAGCTGTGGAGGGGGCTCATGCTTGGAGGTTTAAATGAGAAGTAAAGCTAAACATTTTTTTTTGCCTTTACTTCTCATTTGGGTTGGAGTACATTTACTGTTTTTGGTAATTTGGTTAGTTTTGATTTGACATGGTAAAATCATGAATTCTTCTATCTTGCCCCATTCTCAGCAATTAAACAAACTTCTGCTCTGTGCCAATTTCAATTATATGTTAACTGCAGGGTGCGATGGAACAAATCTTTATGACAGATAATGAATAGGGCATAATGTATTTTACAATGTAATAATATTTATTATTTGATGATGTGAAATAACTGTTTTATAGCTCACAATGATCAGTCACCTTTTGATGGTCCTAATGGGGTGCTGGCACATGCCTACTTTCCGGGCTTAGGAATTGGTGGTGATGCTCATTTTGATGAGGATGAAACATGGTCAAACAACAGAGCAGGTATGTAATGTATTCTTAATGAGGTTTCTTCATTGTCATTTACTTGCAGAACACCTCCAAAAAAAAGAATTAAAATGGAAATGTGAGCTGCTTGTATACACAGGAAGCAGTTCTGGTGTGTCAACTGCCTTCTACTTACCTTTACAACTCACCAAATGGGCAGTGAATGTACCCTAACACTCCATTACTCTAACACTAGCTATAGTAAACTATAGTAAATTTAAAGGACAACTATACCTTTGGTACAGCTTGTCTTTCAAGGCATGCTTCCACTCCCTTGAGTGCAGTCGACCTGCTTCAATACTTACCTCCATCCTCGTTCCAGCTATCTTCACTGTGCGGCCATGGCCGAAGCCACACTGCCTTTCTTACGAAAATGCCTCAGCTAAATGTTCTTCACCAAGTGCATCTGCGCTGTGGCCTAATTCATTCCTATGAGGATTCATATTCATAGCACCCTCCACTTGACCTGTGTAGTATGGCTCTACCCATAGACATGAAGGGGTCCCTATGTGCATGAACAAGAGAACATAGAGAGGACACTTTTGTAAGAAAGGGAAATTAATACATAATGAAGATAAATGGAACAGAGGTAAAGGTAAGTTGTATCGGACTAGGTGAGCTGAGGGGTGGGAGCATGGCTGAAACCAACTGTACCAAACGTACAGTCCTTTAAAGAGACTCTGTCATGATACTAAACTCCTCCAAGCGAGTCATACCTGTGAATGAAGACTGTAAATACTTACCAGAGCCACCAAACATAATTCTGTTAAGTTGAACTCTTCCCCCGCATTTTTGGTTTCCCCTCCCCCGCATTTTTGGTTTCCCCTAAAGCACTCACTGACTTCTCCATATCATTAGTGTCTCCTTTAATGGGTAGAGATCTGAGGGGGAAGTCATTAAGAGCTGTGGGGAAGGAGGAGATTGAGACACCCTGTCTCCAAGCTGACTTCAGGGGGCCAATTTCTACCAAATAAAGTGGTGTTTGTTGGAGCAGGGGGGGGGTTTAAGAAAGGTAAGCATTTACATGTTTCTTAGCTATGCCTAGTATAGCAACAGGACCGAATCTGAGCCCATCCCTAATGGCAACACATGCACTTCCCATAACAGGTACCCTTAAAAGCAAACCTGTTATGACTGGCAAACAGTAAACCTGACAGATACCATTTCTAGTATACTGAATGCCCTTGGAGACCTGGACCTTGAGGCACCTAGTATGGATTGGCAGCTTCTGCCTCAGGCCATAGAGTTGGACAATGTCAGGAAGGTTGTGCCAAACCTTGGAACTGGAAGTTGACATTTGCATATTGAAGTGGGGATCATGGTGCACTTAGGAGATAAAAAGTTTATGTTGGGGACTACTATTAAAGTAATGATTACTAAATGCAAGCATGATAGACTCACTTCAAAAACTCTTTTCCCTTTGGAACAGCAAATCAACTAGCTTTTACTTAAGCAATGACAGTCTCAATATGTTTTCAGATTGTGTTTCCCTTAAATATGTTACAATTAGTGTTCTGAAACAAACATGCTATACATGAGAGTCAGAAAAATATCAAAACTAATTATTCTGGGTCACTGACTCAGGCAACATTTAGGATAAAGCATCAGAAAGACAGTCAAGGAACTAGCATTCTCGAAGGAGAGGCCAGACTTTTACTGCATGTTATTGCAATGCACATTAACACGTTTATGCATTCTTAATAGCGCCCCAATGCACATATACAGTAAGTGAAAACACACCTGTGCATTGTGGTGCACTGCATCACAGTTCAAATTCCATTCAAACATGCGAGTTGCACTAACAGTCTATTCATAATGAATAGGCAAAAACAAGGCCCATTCATGTACAAAATCAAATTTCAAGGCATTTGTGTTACCCTGCACAAATGTGTGAATGGATCCTTAGTCCGAAAAAGAGTCAACTAACAGAGAATGACAGGCTGTACAGCAAAGTTACACACAATGACAGATATCTCACATTAAGAGGTGGACAAAATAGCAGAAACAGCACACAATGTAATATATCAAGCACCATATAAGGAGGATTGTGTTCCTGCTAAATCTCGTCATTTGTGGTTTTTGCAGACACTGGGTCACAGAGGGGCTGACTCAGTTCTTTTATCTGACCTTAAGTGACATTAAGCAAATCATATTCAGCATCTATCCCTGTCATTGAGCATTGTTTTACATGCACTGTTCCTCTTTTCAGTTGCTGCTTGTCCTGATACAGAAAGAGATATTTATGACATTTCATCATTGAATGACAAAGTCTGGCTACCAGTTCACCAAGCCACATCCTGTAGTCTAAGATTTCTGTCATTAGTGCTTTAATGCAAATCAAAAGAAGGGGAAAAAACGTTTTCTAAAATGAGGAGGAAACTGGTGCTGTAGCACAAGTCTGCCCACTGCTGAGTCATCTCCCATTAAAGTACAGGTGAACCTTTCTACAAAAACCCTGCATAGGTCGCCCCCTTAGCTATAATACTAAAAATCAGACATGTAGTCCCGTTGTACATTGCCCCGCTCTCCACTGTGCAGAAAATAGATTCAGTTAACTGTAATTCAATGCACAAGTGCAACTACAAGTTTTGTAATAGGAATGAACTCCCTGGACCACCTGCCCAATAAGTTGCAGTCTGGGGCATTCCCTGACCCACAGCTGCACATAAACAAAGGAATCGGGAAGCTTGTTCTGATGTAATTGACCTTTTATGGCCACATGGCCATATTAGGCTAATGACATTGACCAAATATAGCCAGGTGGCCTTGTAAGGTCAATGAAGTCACTGTATCCCGTCCCATTGCAGCTTTGGGCGAGGAATTCCATGGCCACAGGTGATTTGGTGGCAGTAGAAAGAGTTTCCTTCTGTGTGCAGAGAAGCGCATCCCTACTCTGTAACCGGGCAGGATTGTCTCTGTCCCTTAAGAAGAGGATGCAAGATTTTAGCAAGGAACATTCTAACAGTGAGGTTCCAAAAAGGAAGATCCTGGAAACATTATTATTCATGAAGGGGGAAGGGAGGCCACATATGTGCTTGCGAGAAGGATGCTGGTGCCAGCAGGGAAGTCCCTAGAAAGGAAATTTCTGGAAACTGTATTATCCATAAAGGGGGGCAGGGAGGGTAGCGCCAAGCCAATATATAATGTGGGAAAATCCAGAGGCGAGCTGAAGGGAGGAATGATGCTATCGTGAGAATTAGAGGAAAAAGGATTGGATGCTCAGGATCCCAAAAGCAGCAACTAGTGTTGGACTGCCCTGAATATTAAAAGAGAACCAGACTTAAGTGTGGGCCATGTGGTCAAGTTATTTCTGATTAAATGTATTTCCCCTTTATACAGTGATAGAAATTAATAAATGTCTGAGGTATGGTTATTAAAGAACTTTGATGTTAGGTTATGGATTGTCTTTAGAACATAAAATCCATATTTCCATAGCAATGTTATTCTTACAAAGCCAGTGTTTTTTAGCCTCTGTTGTTTTTTTGCACGTGGTGTAATCTACCCCAGGCTCTCTCATTCATGGAGATTGTTTAAAGGAAGGAAGACAGTATTGTGAACACAGATGGTTACCGCTTGCCACAAGATGACGTCGTTCGGATCCAGGCACTTTATGGGAGAAAGCCATGATAACTCAAGAGACCAAGATAACTCGAGAGACCAACATAACCCAAGAGACCAAATAAGCGAGCCTGCTTTCAGGAAGGCTGATATGGCTTTTACTTATGCTCAAGCTTTGCCATATATCTTACTTATATTGTTTGCAAAATAAATAGAGCATCCAGCACAGTTTTTGCTTTCTGCTTTTCTTTTTAATTATATTGTTAAGGGTTAGTCTACATGACTGTATTTGCAGGTTAGGCACTGACCATCTGGCTAAAGAAAGACCAGCATCCTGGATGAGAGACACATGCATAGCAAGTTTAAAAAAAATAAATCTAATTTTAAGCCAACATTTGGATTTCAAAGATTTGCAAATGTGAGTTGTCATATTCTGGCTTGATGTATACATAGGGGTCTATTTATAAATGTTTTCACACAAGATTCATACAACTTTTATCCAGTATTCACACATTTTTCTGCTTCAATCCAATTAGAGTGTGTGAATTTTGGGTGAAAGTTGTGTGACTCTTAGGTGGAAACATTTAAAAACAGACTCCATGTTTACCTAGACTGATCCAACACTTGCTTACATTAATGGAGACCCATGCCATCAAAAAGAAAACAAGTGTTTCTTTTCTTTAGAGCAGGGGTAGGCAAAGTCTGACCCTCCAGGTGTGCTGAAACTACAAATGCCATCATTCATCTGCCTCTGGGAGTCATCCCTGTCACTTTCAGGATTTGTGGTTGCACCACAGCAGGAGGAGCCATAGTTTGCCTACCTCTACTTTATAGGAATTGGGAAATTAGCTGATTTGATACTCTGCAACTTGTATTATTAAATACAGGGGATACAAATGTAGGCATGTCTGCATTTACTAAAGCAATATACACAGTTACTGAGATACAAGAAAACAGTGTGTGTGTGTGTGGAAGACAGTAATATCTCAAAACAATTTTTTATTATCTTTTTTTGTACTGATAACCTCTAAAAAAATAAATTCACAAAAGATAGACGTTATCAAACAAGCCTACTTTCTTTTTATGAGGAAGTGAGTAATACATTGGACAGAGGAATGGCTGTGGATATCGTATACTTGGACTTTGCAAAATGTGTTTGACACAGCTCCCCACATGCGGCTAATGTATAAGTTAAGCTCAGTAGGTATAGAGCATTCGATTTGTAATTGGATAGAAAACTGGCTTAAAGAGCGTATTCAGAGAGTCGTGATCAATGTTTCATACTCTGAATGGTCTGAGGTTGTTAGTGGTGTCCCCCAAGGTTCAGTTTTGGGCCCCTTACTGTTTAACTTATTTATAAATGACATAGAATTGGGGATTAAATTAGTATTTCTGTGTTTGCAGATGACACCAAGTTATGTAGTGGAATACAGTCCTTGCAGGATGTCTCCAACTTACAAGCAGATCTGAATGCTCTGTGTGATTGGGCATCTATTTGGCAAATTAGGTTTAATGTTGATAAATGTACAGTTATGCACTTGGGGACTAAAAACATGCATGTGTCATACACTCTAGGGGGAGTATGTTTTGGGGAGTCAATGATGGAGAAAGATCTGGGTGTTCTGGTAGACCATAGACTGAATAATAGCATGCAATGTCAAGCTGCTGTTTCTAAAGCAAGCAAAATACTTTCTTGTATTATACGGGGTTTAGGCTCCAGAGAGAGAGACATCATCCTACCCCTATACAAAGCATTAGTAAGACCTCATCTCGAATATGCAGTTCCGTTTTGGGCTCCAGTTCACAAAATGGATGTTATGGAACTGGGGAAAGTGCAGCGAAGGGCGACTAAACTCATAAGAGGCATGGAGGAGCTCAGCTATGAGGAAAGATTAACTGACCTGAATTTGTTCTCTCTGGAGAAGAGGTGATTAAGGCGGGACATGATCACCAATAAATACATAAATGGTCCATATAGTGAGCTTAATGCCAAATTATTCACTTTGAGGTCACTGCAAAGGACAAGGGGGCACTCTTTGCGTCCGGAAGAAAAGAGGTTTAACCTTTGCATACGGAAAGGATTCTTCACAGTTAGAGAGGTGAAAATGTGGAATAGACTGCCCCAGGAGCTAGTTCTAGCAAGCTCAGTTAACAGTTTAAAAAAAATCTGGATGTATTCCTAAATGAACAGAATATTACTGGATATTGAGTTCTTATAGGTATATGAGGCACCCGAGATTGTTGATCCAGGGAATATGCGATTGCCTTATGGGATCAGGAAGGAATTTTCTTTTGTTTTTTTGAGTTTGTTACGTATTTGGTCTATGGATTACATAAAAAATAAAATCATTTTTGCAAGACAATATCACCAAAAGAAACTCCTGTTTATCCTAATATACTGTATATTAGTTACATATATATAGTTACATATACAGTATATGTCTTATATAAAGAAATGACAAAGTTATTGCTGAATAATAGGCCAGTGGTTAAACAACTGTTAAATTATGTGCCTACTGCACCGAAACTATACTGCATACATGGCAGTAATAAATCCCACTGGCAGGGCCTTTACAAAAGTCTGGCTACCGTTCATGTCATGGCAATAATACATTAAGAATTAATTAACATATTACGTTTTCCAGTGATAGGTGACAGATTCTGTAATATGTAACCAATTAACTGATCATGACAAACATTTTGTATTATTAGCAGGAAATAAAGCAAGATGAAATTAGAAGTGGGTGAAACTATGCTCTCATCTCAAGCTACTTATGTTGCAGCAGTTTCTTCACTGCCCAGTATAACTTACTTTATAATTATTCTCCCTGATGAATCCGCAGGATCGGGATCTAACATCTGTGGCTGACCATACACAACCTATTTGCAAGCAATCCAATCAATTTGGATATCACTGGCCCTACCTTAGAGCTGAACTCCAGCCATACCTTTAGTGTTGCATAGTTGTAGAGGCTGAAGCATCCTACTCTGATGTTACTGAACACTGTGCATTAGAAGATGCAGCAAGTCTGATAGAGCCCATCTTATTTCTTGGCTTGAGGGTATTCAGCATCCTGTAGCCGTTTCCTTCCAATCCTTATTATCCCTGGGCCACTCCTATTATGTATTACATTTCAGTTCTTGCAATAATGGATGTTTAGCATCACATGCGGCAATACCCAGGGCGTTCTGCATGGAAATCCTGTCTGCCTAGGAATGCTCACTCTTCCAGAAGGACATCCACCCATCAAGGCATTTTGATATTTGCATAACTCCTCCCAAAGGCAAGCACCAGGACTGAAGTCCCTTGAGTAGAGTACTGAGGATGGGTGATGTGATGTTTTCAGGAAGCTATGTACAGCACTATGCCAGCCCATCCATCTTCTATGATCTGCCTCCATTGTATAGAGATGGACAGAGACCCAGTGATAACAAGTATTGGGAAGATACTTCAAAGTTTGATCAAGGATCACATGCAATTGTTTTTGCTTGAAAATAATATCATAAGCGATAGTCAGCACGGATTAACAAAAGAAAGAAGTTGTCAAAC